GGTTCCCGTTGAAGGGTAAACGTTCGCGATATTGCAATTTCCGAAGTGATTGCTCCTGGTAATCGCACACCCCTCATATCCAGTTATTTGTACAGTCAGTCAGGTTGCCGTCGACAAATCGATAATTTCGATCAATGATCAAAGAAGCTGTGTTTGTGGTTACTAAACCTTAGATGCGAATTTCGCTCTATCGGAACTGATTGCTGCGGTCGATACTAATTAAACTAACAAAGTCAATCGTTGGGCTTGTTTTCGGTATTCATTCCACTCTCCACAGCGAGGCAGAACAACAGACCAACGAACAGGCACAAAATTTATTAGTTTGTGCGGTTTTTTTTATATGATTACTCATGTAAGATAAAATTTCATATAACGTATGAAACCGGGGAAAGGAAGGATATCCGCAGGCTCATAACTTTGTTTTGTTCATTATGAGGAATGCTAATCAACTGGACCGTTTTTCAGAGGGTTCTATTAAAGGATTAGTCGTTAGATTATGAAAACAATCTTTTAAATGAACCAGTGGCCGAGTTTTAACCAAAAAGCAATTGAGAGTCATTGTTTCTGCGAGATGAAGGTGAAGCTGGGGATGATAAGTCTCAGGCGCTTGTCGTCCTAGAGACCCCGACTACCATACTGCGTCAGAAGCCTGCCATGTGCAAGCCCAGTTTCTGTGATATTAGGACGAATTACTGGAAACCAGTACATGGATCAGGCCTTTTTCTGCATAGCTACCTCCCTGATATATGCCGGCAAAGTGAGCAAATTACCATAGATAGTCCACATGCCACTGAATGTTGCATGACTCCGAGCAAAGCAAAGCACCGTCCAGGAGAGCACAACCACCTTTGCAGCATCCTAATCTATACCACTTCTCCGCTTGGGAGCTCATACAGGAGGTAATTGACTTTTGAGGACAACACCTAAACCCAGCGAGCGAGTTTGTGTGGAATGACCTCGATTCAAGTGATCCCCGAAGCTGAGGTCGTAATATAAAAACTTATATTAGAAAGTCCGGAAAGTTAAGGAAATTGCTTCTCCTTCAAACATTTTACTCGCGAGCGCGCGGAAGAATGACTATAGATTCGATAGCAGTGGAGGGATATTGTGGATAGGTCAATACTATAGCTGATCGGTATTTGTTATGGTCGTTCGAAGTAAGCAATCGTCGCCCGAAGGATCTACCATCGACACGTCTACCGAAGTCTTCTGCTTCACCATTACGAAACTGGTCGCTTCGATGCTCAGCCTTGGAACGAACGAAGTATAGCGACTGATTGGGAGAAGTATACCCTTTCTTGTCACCTACCATGAATAGCACGATTGCTCTCACTGAGAAAAGACTTGATGAGCGAAGATCGCCGAAGCAGACGTCCATTTTCCTTTGATACCGACACTGTTCTGGCATTCCGTCGGAGCGATCCTCCCCAAAGTGTCAGGATATGGAAAAAGACGATCTCTACTCCCCAATCCATCATTTGCGGTATTCTACGCGAAAGTTACTTTCAAAGCAGGACTCTTTGTTGAGCAGAAGGGTCGAGTGCGAGCCAGTGTTTGTCAGAAACCTCGACTGTAAGCGAACGACGACATCAACCGACTTTATCATTGCTCAGAATATAAGGTAGATGTCAAATGCAAATCCACATAGGAAATTACAATGCCTAATAATGGACGTAAGGCCATGGCTAGTAAAAAAGCGAGACAGTCACACCAAGAAAGACAGCTCATTCTTCCTCTGCTCAACAGGTTTACTGTTCTACTGGGAGATCCCACCAGAGTGTACTGTTGTAAACGTAAGAGTATCCTGTTACTGTCTGAGAGAGGTGGTGTTCCGAACCTCCATTTCACACCAATTACAAGGAAATTTTCGATAGTATTAGGTAATGCCCGGTCACCTCTCTCGATAACGTTGATGGATGCTGAAAGACTTGGTATACCATGACTAACCCGTTTCCCACATATTCACCTGATCTCAACCCACATGGCTGCCAACTTTGAGGAGCCCACAGACCTGCTCTACAGGAGAAAAAATTCATCAGTTGTTGCTAGGTGGTAGGTGAATGAATTACGTCAATTGCGTCACGCCTCTATTCATAATGGGAGAATGGCATCAATGCCCTGCCCGGTTGATGTGGAGATATTGTGGCTAGGAAAGGCCACCATCTTGATCACTGATCCAAGCTTATTGCTGTAGTTAAAAAAAAATCGGCTAAATTTTCACAAAATTTTCCGGGCACCCTAATGCACGTACAGTGAAGTAGCTGGAAGTCAAGCAGAGTAGCGTTCCTACTAACTACGGTCGGTCAGTCACCAAGATGGTGAGGTTGTTAGAAAGGCTGGAAAGTGGTGTCGGTGGCTCTTGTAGCGAAGCTAGCGACGCCGCTTTCCAGCTTGGCTGAAAGAGCCACCGACAAAAGAGCACCCATTGAAAACCTATATTGAAAGCCCCTCCCTCAAAGGGTATTTTTGAAAAGGCTCGAGTGTAGTGTCTGTCTCAACTCACTTGCCGTTGACTCTCCACTAGATCGTCGAATTTACTGACTGACCCTGATCATTGCGTTGCTGCTCAGTTTGATTCTTCTCAGTAGTGACGCGATGATTTTTTCAACAAACGGAAGATGAGGTCGTTTCGGGTCAGCAATTTCTGTCGATAAGCCCCCTGTTGTTAACTACTGTCGCCGCAGCATGTGACTATAATTGGCTTAAATTCACCCTACCATACCAGAGATCGCGGAATTGGCCACATTGTGAACCGTGCTATCTCGAGCGTTATTCTATTCCTCGTTTTCTGCCACTTGCTATTGCTTTTTTCCGTGCTTGGAAAACATGAAAACGGCGGCTGACGATAGGCATTTCCTACCATTGTGAGCTTGACAGTTTCATAGTCGGCTATTTCTCGTAAAATTTCCATGTCGCGTCTGAGCAAATGAGTCCAACTACGAAATAAACTAAGCGGAATTTGGTGACTTCCATTTTTGGTAGGAGATTTTTCTCGAGCAACACCTTGTTAACGGGAGCTATCTCTTGCGCTAACCCATGCGCAACATAGCCCAGTGGCCGAATAACCACCGTTTAACACGGTTTGAAACTTCTTGGTGTTAAACAGTGGTTGTTCGGCCACTGGGCTATGTTGCGCATGGGATAGCACAAGAGATAGCTCCCGTTAACAAGAAGGTGTTGCTCGAGAAAAATACCCTGACAGCCTGAATCAAAGAAGTTCCATTTTCCATTGACTAAGATTTGGTGCTCTAGCAATTCTTAAATCACCAAAGAAATAGAATAAAAATAAAAGGAGCTCAAAATCAGGCTTCGTAGACAAACCCCATGACGTGTTTAACGGCTTTCTAGAGGCTCTACAATGGACCACGTAGGACAACTCCTAAAAAGCTGATTGCCTCGGGCCCTCGACCAACGGCGGTAGTGAAAAATGTTTCTAGGCAGCGCACATACAGTCGGCGACTCCGCGCAATCAAACAGGGCTGAAATCTCGTCCAAATACGTCTTTTGTGTCAATCTCGTACACCCGTCAATTTTGTTATTCTTAAAAACTTAACATTTTGCACATTTGCGGGTCGCTTCGCTTTCCGACACAGATGCACTAGTTTCCGCCAACATTTTCGTAATTAAATATGAAAAAAAGTATTGCAAACGTTATCACCAACTATGCCTTCAAGGTGTTGGAGAACTTCTGAATTTCTCATCGAGGATATTATTGTACCGCCTTGACTTCTCAAAATCCTCACAGTACCCTGTACAGTTGAACTCGATGAAGTGCAGACTGCAGACTTTTTTGTTGAGTGGATGCTTCTAGATGAAAATTTAATTCTAGGCCTCGATGGAACCCAATGGCAAAGAGAGGTTCGCTTCTTCGATAGAAGATCTCCGAAAAAGAAGCGAAGATGAAGACGAGAAGTTGCTGTGCGGGTACGGCAGGTGAGTGGAGTTGGGGAGGGATTGCTGATGAGGCGAGTTTCCTCAAATTTAATTTTCAGAAATGTTAATTAGTAAAACTGAATTAATGTCAATTAATTAACGAATCGAATTATTATTTATTATCCACTAATGTATCAATATGAATACTATTATAGTTGTTGTTGTTATTATTATTAACAGCATTAATATCATTACTAGTACTCTCTCTACCATTACCATTATTACTACAATCAAAATTGTAATTGTTGTTATGATCGGTTGTATTGAACCTTTTTCGAAAACCTGTTTGCTGGCATGGCTGTCCTCTATCCAGTATTCTGCCACCCCTATTAGGGATGGCTTGTGAGGAAGGCTTATATACTACAGAAAGCAGGCGGATAACAAGCAGCAAGTCACTTCGCAAAAAGCGGAGGAACTCAAGAACTCTGTATTTTTGACAGTGTTCCCTTTTCTTGATGAATAACAGTCGTTTTGCACTAACCACTTCGAGAATGGAAAGGATAAAAACCGGGGCCATTAGCAACCTTGACGACACTCTGAGAAGAGCATTCAGGGTTTTCACAGTGTGTTCATCGAAAAATTCGACCCCTCGAATGCGCGGAAACTCTCCAGGAAAGGGTTTGATCAAGTAGCATACTCCACAACGGAAGCGAAACAGTTGTGGAGTACTACTCCGAAGAAGGGAAACATGGGTGCCTCTGGTTGACACAGCTGACTTTGTCTTAGAAAAAAATTCGATATTTTGCTAGCCGCAATTGGGGAAGATCCCCAATTGACAGAAACGTATCGGGCTTTATTCTTGTCCCGCATAACTTTTTCTGTTCTTCACTCCCTATTCCTACAGTAATGACCAAATGGGAAGTAACACTTGCGGTAAAATGGTTCCATTGAGTACTGCAGAAATATCAGAACGTCAATGGGTAGTGTGACACGACCGTTTGAAAATATATAATAGATCGCGGTAACCTAGTTTCAACGGGGCGAACACGATGGCGCTTCTTGACCCATACCTTTGTAGAATCTGATTTTGCAACTATTGTCTCTGATCAAGCTTTCAGACGAAATAAATGAATGAGAAGTTTCAGCTGTACTCCTGCATGGCTCCAGCGATTTCACACCGCAAAATGGTTGCTTCTCATGCTTGGTATTTGTGCCTTCATTCAGGTAAACATCAAGTTCCTTCATGATGGATGTATTCCCTTGAAAACTCTTGGAATATTTAGAGCTTCGTCGTGAATGCAATATTTCCCGTCGCTCTGTCAACCCTAGAGAGGCGGTTTAAAATGACTAGGTTCTCAGAATATATAATAATTTTGATTTTAAGGCCTCATTGGTAACAACGTTCTCCATTACAGTACTCACACCGGTATTATCTCAAGTTGGTACGATTTCGCCGTGCTGCTCGTAGTGTTTGGTGAGTATATAGACGATCGAAAAAAAAATGCAAAAAAAACTAATTTGCGGCTCTTCTCTGGCAAACACTTGCCTCTCTCAAATACAGAACTCATGTGTTTAATTTAAGTTCATGTTTAGGGCACAAAGGTCGCTGGATTGGATGGGGTGGTGTGATAATGGCGTTGGGCTCGTTAGTTTGTGCGCTACCTCACTGGCTCATCAGTCCCTACCAGCCGGAACACTCCACGAATAATGCATCTGATTTTGGCCAGTGCACTTTGAGGTATTTTATAGCTTGAATAAGTAAAGTTGGTGAGAACGTGAGGAGTGAGGCTCGCTACGATCTGCACTGATTCCAAAGGCCCACGACTCTCAACAGGAGCAACTGTTCGAGTTTAAATTAAAGCAGCAGCGAGACCAAAATAAAAACTTGTGTAAGGATTCATAACAGTACTTCTGTTTTGTGCCATTGATTCTATTAGAGCTCCTTAAAGCACCTGTTGAAAATCTCGCAACAGTTCTGAACGCTCCACTTATATCCGCCAGCTTCTCCGACTTGCCCAATGCCCAACGATCGCAGTCGGTTTACCAGATGAGAACTTATCTTCTCCGATCTCCGAGTTTCCTCTTTCCAGCTTTGGAGCGCTGGAACCAAGAAAAGGGGGGGGGAGGAGAGGTAAGAGACTGTTTCGAGGTGGACTTAAGATCGATTAGGTTGACATGAATTTCCATGAGCTTTCGCAGCGAAGTGGCAAACGGTCAGCGCGTCTCTTTTGCAATTCCAGGAATTTCTAGAATATTCCAGACAAACCTGAACCATTTACGAATTTTTTTGTACACATTTTTCAATTACTGGAATATTTTATTCATTGCTTTGTCTTACCAGGGAAGAATCCCAAGTCGAACCATTTGAAATGAGACTTACACTGCTGGACGTGTTCTTTGATGCTGAGTTCAAATCTGCTCTCCAAATTTGTCGAGCGTTTCTGTGAACGGAGTTATGAGGGTGGTTTCAGGGAGCTTTACATAAGAAAACTTAAATTACATGGATGCGCCTTTCTTCTCAACGGCGGCTTGGTGTGGTGGAAAGCGTGACGCTTCATGTGTGGGAGACTAGGGTTCGGGTTTCTTGAAGGGCGGAGTTTTCGCATTATGTAGAATTTTTTCCTTAGGGACTAGAAAATGCTCTCATTGTGATTTTATCACGTTTTATGACCTTTCAATGCTTTTGCTGATATTTATTCACATAAAGTAATATTTCAGTTTTACTCGCACGCCCATTCACTCTAGGATCACAGTAGGATAAGTTTTCCCACCAGAATGACCAAATGTGATCTCTATCACGAAGTGCTTGTAACAAAGAACTTCTGACAATGGGAGCAAGGGATGAAAAAGAACTCGTCACAACCCATTGCTTCACAGTTACTAACCCCAAATCAGAAGGGAAACAGAATTGTCCCAAAATCACCCGGGTGAGTATTAAAGCAGCCGGCGCAATACCATGAATAAAAAAAACTTCCTAGATTGAACAGCACGGAACTAAAATAGGCAAGCGATAGTAAGTCTAAATGGGGTTTCGTGTGTGCACGCAGAAGTTGAGACCATGAGCTATTACATATTAGGTGGTGCGTTTAACCATGTTTCTAAAAGGATGGTCTGAAGAGGCTTCTGTTGGCTGTATTAGCCTCCTGGAAGCCTCGGGAAGAGTGGCATTCCCTTTACCTGCTTTTTTGGAGGTAGGACGCACTGAATAGCTTTCTGGTCTGTGAATGATATCCACGAGTCCAATGTCAACAGTGCCGGTGTTGGTGGGTCCGAAGCTGCTACGCACCATCGCACCCGATCTAGCACCAACACCCACTTAAGCATCATCATTGATCGCCATATGCCTTGTTCTCGCCCGGAGCTTCAAATTTTGCGCATGGAAGCATCGTCTACTCGGTAACAGGTAGGTAGGTAGGAGAAGGCATCAGCAAAGCACCAAAACTTCGTAGAACGTGATAAAATCACCATGACAGTAGTTTCTAGTCTTTAAGGGAAAAATTCTATATAATGCAAAAACCCCGTCCCCCACAAAACCCGAACCCTAGTCTCCCGCACATGAAGCGTCACGCTTCCCACCACACCAAGCCGCCGTTGAGAAGAAACGCGCATCCATGTAATTTAAGTTTTCTTATGTTAAGCTCCCTGAAACCACCCTCATAACTCCGTTCACAGAAACGCTCGGCAAATTTGGAGAGCAGATTTGAACTCAGCATCAAAAAAC